TTGTTATATGATTGTTTGCCAACAGATTATTCAAATTGCAGGTTGTTGTGAGGGATTTTTGGGCAATTGGGTTCCAGTGAATTGAGCTGGATTCGATGGAACCTATTTTCTAGGTTACATCGAACCCAGATCTGTTGGGTTCCGTCGAACTCAGCTCTACTTTTTTTTTTTTTTGTTATATGTTTGTTTGTTAAGAGATTATCCAAATTGCAAGTTGTTGTGAGCGATATTTGGGATTCTTTTTTTCATATATTTTTAAGTATTGTTTAAATGATTTCAATCTTGAAAATGGAAAGAACATCGTCGATGGAAAGAACAGAAACAGTAACCGATAGGCAAAAGAAGCAATTCTTAGTGGTGATGTGGGACCCATTTGGACGGATTTGACACATTTTGGCCACGGTAGTATGACATGGCAAAAGTTTTGTGCGTATCATCACTTTTTTAAATTTTGCTCTCCATGTCATCAAAAAAAAATATAAAAAATACCATATAGGCAGAGTTAACGGCCCAAATTAACAGAAGGATTAATGGAGTGCATTTCGTATAGTTGAGGGATCAAAAAAGTGCAAAATTTTGTTGAGGGATCAAAAATGTGTATTTCGTAAAATTGAGGGACCAAATTTAGCATTTAACCTAAAATAAATAATTAAAATGAATGGATAATGATAGGGTTAAAGTAAAAAATATTTGTGTACTTTATTAAATGAAAATATGATAATTAATTTAGAACAAACCCAAAGAGATAAGTATTTTGGGATGGATGAAGCAAGGATTTGGAGACAATTTATATTTTTACTTATTTTTAATTATATTTATTTTATTTTTTAAAAATAAAATAAAATAAATAGACTTTTTATGATATGACAGATAATTAAAATCAAGAGGTAATAATAAAGTAAGAAAAAATATTTATCTTCCTTCAAATATGGAAAAAAATGACTACTGTTTTGAGACAAATTTTAAATATAAAAAAAAGGTCTATTGCATACAATTTTGGAACAAATTCTAGATAGATACAGGTCCTTTTTTGTTTTTTTTGTGGGAATGGAAGGAGTAAAAGTTTGAGGTGGCATTAATATGTTTGGGTTGATGGAAATGAAGGGGAGGGGAAAATTTTTTTTTATTTGGTTACCAAAAAAAATTAGAGAGGAGAGGAGTAGGAAATTTCTTTTATTTTATTTTTTTAAATTTAATTACCTATTGAAATTGAAATGAGGAGAGGAATGGAGGGGAAAGGGAGGGAATGAAAGAATATAATTTCTCACCCTTCTCTTTCTCTTTAATCCATTTCGTTCAACCTAAATATAAGGTAAGGAGATACATATCAAAAAAAAAAAAAAAAAGGTAAGGAGATAATAGCGATATTTTTAAAATTTATTTTTGCTAACACAATTTTTACTCTATAAACTTTCCTTTTCACAATTTTTGAATGAAAAATTTTTCCTCTAACTTTTTTTTACAGAGGACTTACTTGATAATTTTTCTACCAACTTTCTTTATACTAATTTCTTACAAAATATAAAAACATTAACAATGTAACAAAATTTAAACAAAATTTTATTACAAAACTTATTAATTTTTTGTATAATATTTCTTAACTTTCTATATAATGTTTTTTTATCTTTTTATACAGTATTTTCTTAGTCACTTTTTAAGTAGAACTCTCTTAATAAGGTTTAACTGTCTAATGAAAAAGGCCAATCACATAATGTGGTATGGGTGTTCTTCTTTCTGTGTGTCAAAATTTTATTGCTTAATTATACCATATCGAAATAAAAAAAAATATATGTATCATTGTAAGATCCAATCAAAAAGTAGAAAAGGAGCTTGTCGAACACAACTTAAAAAAAAAAAAAAAAAAAAAGAAAGAAAAAAAAAAGAAGAAAATAGCGAACATGGTCTGTGTCATCATGTAGGGCATGCTAGCCTGTGGGCCA